CACCTGTTGTCACTTTATCACGGACTGTCACCACATACCTGTTGTCACCATTGTCACTGTTCACTGCTCACTGCTGTCACCACTGTCAATTGTCACCCGTCATTGTTATGACCCTGTCACCACTGTCACCTGTCACCACGGTCAATTGCTGTCACCATAGCCACTGGTTGTCACTGGTTACACCACATCACTGTTTCGCTATTATTCCGTTTTGACCTGTTCTGGAGCGGAGTCCCCATTATAACTGGAGAACACCATATCGCCGCAACACGACAGAGCCACAACACACCATCATTTTGTTGATGTCACCCATTGCTGGCGCCATGTCGCTGTTGCATACCAGCATACTTGTTGGTCACTGTCACCGCCACAGCACTGAACCGCGGTCATAGAGCCACTGTCAATTAAAGAATGCCAATACTGTTGCGCTCACACACCGCCACTGTTGTCACCGCTGTCACCGGCAGCAGCCATTGTCACCATTCACGTTCACCGTTGTCACCTGCTGTCACTGCCAGCCACCGGTCACCGTGTCAACAGTGACTGCCTGGCTGTCGGCTGTCACCGCTGTCATTGTCAACAGAACACTGCTGTCAATTGTCTCCCCATTGTCACCGCTGTCACTGTGAACACTGTCACCGCTTGGTCAACTTGTCACACTTGTCACTGGCCACTGTTGCTCACAGCTCTTCTGCTCACCAGGCATCACTGTTGCTCAATTGCTGTCAATTGCAGCCTGTCACCGCCCGCTCAATTGCCACACCGCTGGTTCCGTCTTGTTTCTGACCGTTGTCACTGTCGTCAGCGATTGCCACCAGCATGTCTATAATCATTATCGCCATTATTAACTGACCACTCATGTCACCACTTGAGCCAGCAGCACCTGGTTGCTCAATCCAGCACATTTGTCAATCCTGGTGCCAGGTTGTCACACGCACACAGGACCTTGTCACCGCGACCACCGCGTCAATTGGTTCCATCGGCCGAACACCGTTTCAGCTTGTCACCGTTGTCACTGTTGTCACTCTTGTCACTTTTTGTCACTTGTTTTCACCGTTGTCACGGTTGTCACCGTTGTCACTGTTGTCACTCTTGTCACTGTTGTCAGTGTTGTCACCGTTGTCACCGTTGTCACCGCTGTCACTTTGTCACTGTTGTCACGGGTTGTCACCATTGTGACTGTTTTCGTTTTCACTGATTCCATTGTTGTCATGTCAGTTGTCATCCTTTGTCACCCTTGTCACTGTTGTCACCGTTGTCATTTTTTTTGTCACCGTTGTCACTTTTGTCACTTTTGTCACTGTTGTCACCGCTTGTTACTGTTGTCACTGTTGTCAGTGTTGTCACAGTTGCTGTCACTGTTGTCACCATTGTCACTGCTGTCACCGTTGTCACCATTGTCACTGTTGTCACTGTTGTCACCGTTTTCATGCTGTTGTCACCATTGTCACCGCTGTCACTGTTGTCACTGCTGTCACCGCTGTCACCTCTGTCACTGTTGTCACTGTTGTCACTGTTGTCACCGTTGTCGTACCATTGCCCATTGTCACTATTGGTCACAATTCGTCACCGTTCTCACTGTTGTAGCTGTTGTCATCGTTTTCACAGTTGTCACCGTCGTCACCGTCGTCATTGTTGTCACTGTTGTCATTGTTGTCACCGCCAGACGGTTGTCACTGTTGTCACTGTTGTCACTGTTGTCATCGTTGTCAATGTGGTCACTGTTGTCACGGTTGTCACCATTGTCAATTTTGTCCCTGTTTACCATTGTTGTCACCATTTTGACTGTTGTCACTGTTGTCACTGTTTTCACTCCGTTGTCACTGTTGTCACCATTGTCACCATTTTCACCGTTGTCACAGCGTTGTCACCATTGTCACCGTTTCGTCACCGTTGTCACCGTTGTCGCTGTTGTCACTGTTGTCACCTTTGTCAATTTTGTCACTGTTGTCACTGTTGTCACCCATTGTCACAGTTGTCACCGTCAGGTCAGTGTTGTCACTGTTGTCACCGTTGTTAACGCTGTCACTGTTGTCACAGTTGTCACCTGTTTTCACTGTTCTCACTGTTGTCACTGTTGTCACTGTTGTCACGGTTGTCACTGGTTGTAACCCATTGTCACTGTTGTCACTTTTTGTCACCATTGTCACCGTTGTCACCGTTTTCCCTGTTGTCACCGTTGTCACCGTTGTCACAGTTGTCGCTGTTGTCACTGTTGTCACTGTTGTCACTGTTGTCAGCATTGTCCCTTTGTCACCGTTGTCACCATTGTTTGTTTTCACCCTCGTTGTCACAGTTGTCACCGTTGTCACTTTTTGTCACCATTGTCACCGTTGTCACCGTTGTCACTGTTGTCACTGTTGTCACCATTGTCACCTTTGTCACTGTTGTCACTGTTGTCACCTGTTGTCATTGATTGTCACCGTTGTCATTGTTGTCACTGTTGTCACCATTGTCACCATTGTCACTGTTGTCACAATTGTCACTGTTGTCATTGGTGTCAGTTGTTGTCATCGTGTTACTTGTTGTCACTTTTGTCACCGTCGTCACCGTTGTCACCGTCGTCATTGCCGGTCACAGTTGTCACGGTTGTCACCGTTGTCACCTTGTCACCGTTGTCATCGCTGTCACTGTTTTCACTGTTTTCACTGTTGTCACCGTCACCACTGTTGTCACCGTTTTCACTCGTTGTCACCGTTTTGACCGTTGTCACAGTTGTCACTTTGTCACCGTTGTCACTGTTGTACCATTGTCACTGGTCACCGTTTTCACCGTTGTCACAGTTGTCACTGTTGTCACTGTTTCACCATTGTCACTGTCGTCACCGTTGTCACAGTTGTCACCGCTTGTCACTGTTGTCACTGTTTTCAATTGTTGTCACCGTTGTCACTGTTGTCACTGTTGTCATTGTTGTCACCATTGTCACCGCTTGTCACTGTTTATCACTGTCATCACGGTTGTCACTGTTGTCACCGTTGTCCCATTGTCACCGTTTTTCATTGTTGTCAAATTGTCACTGTTGTCACTGTTGTCACATTGTCACCGTTGTCATTTTCTTTTGTCACTGTTGTCACTGTTGTCACTGTTGTCACCGTTGTCACTGTTGTCGCCGTTTTCACTGTTGTCACTATTGTCACCTTTCACCGTTGTCCTGTTTCTTCTGTTGTCACTGTTGTCACTGTTGTCACTGTTGTCACTGTGGTCACCGTTGTCACTGTTGTCACTGTTGTCACTGTTGTCACTGTTGTCACCGATGTCACTTTTGTCACTTTTGTCACCATTGTCACCTGTTGTCATTGTTGTCACTGTTGTCACTGTTGTCACTGTTGTCACTGTTGTCGCTGTTGTCACTGTTGTCACTTGTTGTCACCGTTGTCACTGTTGTCACCGTTGTCACCGTTGTCAGTTTTGTCACAGTTGTCACCGTTGTCACCATTGTCACCGTTGTTGTCACTGTTGTCACTGTTGTCACCATTGTCACTGTTGTCACTGTTGTTGTTGTCACCGTTGTCACCGTTGTCACTGTTTCACCGTTGTCACATTGTCACTATTGTCACTGTTGTCACTGTTGTCACTGTTGTCAATCTTGTCACCGTTGTCACCATTTGTCACTTTTGTCACTGTTGTCACTGTTGTCACATTTGTCACCGTTGTCACCATTGTCACCGCTTGTCACTGTTGTTGGTGTCACCGTTGTCACCGCTGTCACTGTTGTCACCGTTGTCACCGTTGTCACTGTTGTCACTATTGTCACCGTTGTCACTATTGTCGTTGTCACTGTTGTCACCGTTGTCACTGTTGTCACCATCACTTTTGTCACTGTTGTCACCTGTTGTCACTGTTGTCATCGTTGTCACTGCTGTGAGTGTTGTTTCACCATTGTCACTGTTGTCATTGTTGTCACTGTTGTCACTGTTGTCACCGTTGTCACCGTTGTTTTGTCACTATTGTCACCGTTGTCACTGTTGTCACCGCTGTCACCGTTGTCACCATTGTCACAGTTGTCACTGTTGTCACTGTTGTCACTGTTGTCACCGTTGTCACCGCTGTCACCGTTGTCACGCAGTCACTGTTGTCACCTGTCATCGTCACTTTGTCACCGTTTTCACATTGTCACTGTTTCACCGTTGTCACTGTTGTCATCGTTTTTCACCGTTGTCACTATTCACCGTTGTCACCGTTGTCACTGTTGTCACCATTGTCACAGTTGTCACTGTTGTCACCGTTGTCACTGTTTTCACTGTTGTCATATTTTTGTCACTGTTGTCACTGTTGTCACCGTTGTCACCTGTTGTCACTGTTGTCACTGTTGTCACACTGTTGTCACTTTGTCACTCTTGTCGTTGTTGCCCCGTTGTCATTTTGACTGTTGTTTTCACTGTTTTAACTGTTGTCACTGTTGTCACTGTTGTGCCTGTTGTCACTGTTGTCACTGTTGTCACTGTTGTCACCATTGTCACTGTTGTCACGGTTGTCACCGTGGTCGGGTCGTTGTCACCGTGGTCACAGTTGTCACTGCTGTCACTGTTGTCACGGCGTCACCCCTTGTCGCTGTTGTCACTGTTGTCACCGTTGTCGCTGTTGTCGCTGTTGTTACCGTTGTCACTGTTGTCACCGTTGTCACCGCTGTCACCTTTTTCATTTTCACTGTTTCATTATTGTCACTGTTGTCACCTTTTTCACCATTGTCACTGTTGTCACATTGTCACTGTTTGTTACCATTGTCACTGTTTTCACCGTTGTCACTTTGTCACCGTTGTCACTGTTGTCACTGTTGTCACCCTTGTCACTTTGTCATTATTGTCACTTTTCACTGTTGTCAGTTGTCACTGTTGTCAGTTGTCACTGTTGTCACTGTTGTCATTGTTGTCACCGTTGTAGCTGTTGTCACTGTTGTCACCCATTGTCACTGTTGTCACTGTTGTCACTGCTGTCACTGTTGTCACTGTTTTCATCCTTGTCACCATTGTCACTGTTGTCACTGTTGTCACTGTTGTCACCGTTGTCACCATTTTCACAGTTTTGACCGTTGTCACCGTTGTCACATTTGTCACCGTTATCACAGTTGTCACCGTTGTCACTGTTGTCACTTTTGTCACTGTTGTCACTGTTGTCACTGTTGTCACTGTTGGTCACCTGTTGTCACTATTCTCATTGTTGTCACTGTTGTCACCGTTGTCACCGTTGTCACTGTTGTCACTGTTTTCACCTTTGTCACTGTTGTCACTGTTGTCACTGTTGTCACAGTTGTCACTGCTTGTCACCGTTGTCACCGTTGTCACCGTTTTCACCGTTGTCACCTTTTAGTCATTGTTGTCACGGTTGTCACCATTGTCACCGTTGTCACCGTTGTCACCGCTGTCACTGTTGCCACTGTTGTCACTGTTGTCAGAGTTGTCACCTTTGTCACTCTTGTCACGGTTGTCACAATTGTCACTGTTGTCACTGTTGTCACCTTTGTCACTGCTGTCACTGTTGTCACTGTTGTCATTGTTGTCACTGTTGTCACGGTTGTCACCACTGTCACCGTTGTCACCGCTGTCACCCCTGTCACCATTGTCACCGTTGTCACCGCTGTCACTTTTGTCACCATTGTCACCGTTGTCACCGTTGTCACCGCTGTCACCGTTGTCACTCTTGTCACGGTTGTCACAATTGTCACCATTGTCACTGTTGTCACCGCTTGTCACTGTTGTCACCATTGTCAGGGTTGTCACCGTTGTCACCGTTGTCACCTGTTGTCACTGTTGTCACTGTTGTCACAGTTGTAACTTGTCACCGTTGTCACTGTTGTCACTGTTGTCACCGTTGTCACCGTTGTCACCGTTGTCACTGTTGTCACCGTTGTCACCGTTGTCACTTTTGTCACTGTTTGTCACTGTTGTCACTTTTGTCACTGTTGTCACCGTTGTCAGTTGTCACTGTTGTCACTGTTGTCACCGTTGTTGTTGTCACTGTTGTCACCCATTGTCACTGTTTCACTGTTGTCACTGTTGTCACTGTTGTCACTGTTGTCACCGTTGTCACCGTTGTCACCCTTGTCACCTATTGTCACCGTTGTCACCGTTGTCACCGTTGTTGTCACCGTTGTCACTGGTTGTCACTGTTGTCACAGTTGTCACGTTGTCACCGTTGTCACCGTTGTCACCGTTGTCACTTTTGTCACTATTGTCACCGTTGTCACCGTTGTCACCGTTGTCACTGTTGTCACCATTGTCACTGTTGTCACCCATTGTCACCATTGTCACCGTTGTCACCGTTGTCACTGTTGTCACCGTTGTCACCTGTTGTCACTGTTGTCATCGTTGTCACTGTTGTCACCGTTGTCACTGTTGTCACTGTTGTCACTGTTGTCACCGTTGTCACTGTTGTCACCGTTGTCCCTGTTGTCACTGTTGTCATCGTTGTCACTTTGTCACCGTTGTCACCGTTGTCACCGTTTTACTTTTTTCACCATTGTCACGACTGTCACTTTTGTAACCGTTGTCACCATTGTCACTGTTGTCACTGTTGTCACTGTTGTCACCGTTGTCATTGTCACCGTTGTCACCCTTGTCACCGTTGTCACGGTTGTCACGGTGTCACTGTTGTCACCGTTGTCACGGTTGTTTCACCATTGTCACCGTTGTCACTGTTGTCACGATTGTCACTGTTGTCACCGTTGTCACCGTTCGCTTTTGTCACTGTTGTCACCGTTGTCACTGTTGTTCCAGTTGTCACCGTTGTCACCGTTTTCACCGTTGTCACCGTTGTCACTGTTGTCACCGTTGTCACTGTTGTCACCTTTATCTCCTTTCATTTTGTCACTGTTGTCCGGTTGTCACCGTTTTCACTGTTGTCACTGTTGTCACCGTTGTCATTGTCACCGTTGTCACATTTTTGTCACTTTTGTCACCGTTGTCACCGTTGTCACCGCCGTTGTTGTCACTGTTGTCACGTTGTCACTGTTGTCACATTGTCCTGTTGTCACTGTTGTCACCGGTGTCACTGCTGTCACTGCTGTCACAGTTGTCACCTTTGTCACTGCTGTCACCGTTGTCACTGTTGTCATTCTTTTCACCGTTGTCACTGTTGTCACTGTTGTCACCGTTGTCACTTTTGTCACTGTTGTCACCGTTTTCACCGTTGTCACCGTTGTCACCATTGTCACTGTTGTGGCTGCTGTCATTGTTGTCACCGTCATCACTGTTTTCACTGTTATCGCTGTTGGCCCTGTTTTCACTGTTGTCACCGTTGTCACCATTGTCACCGTTTTCACCATTGTCACCATTGTCAATTTTGTCACTGTTGTCACTATTGTCACTTTTGTCACCGTTGTCACCGTTGTCACCATTGTCACTATTTTGTCACCGTTTTCACCGTTGTCACTGTTGTCACTGTTGTCACTGCCACTGTTGTCACTGTTTTCACCGTTTGTCACGGTTGTCACTGTTGTCACCTTTGTCACCATTGTCACCGTTGTCACCGTTGTCACTGTTGTCACATCGTTTTCACTGTTGTCACTGTTGTCACCGTCGTCACTGTTTCATTTTTGTCACCATTGTCACTGTTGTCACCGTTGTCACCTTCATTGTCACCGTTGTCACCGTTGTCACCGTTGTCACCGTTGTCACTATTGTCACTGGTCATCATTGTTGTCACTGTTGTCACCGTTGTCCTGTTGTCACTGTTGTCACTGTTGTCACTGTTGTCACCGTTGTCACTTTTGTCACTGTTGTCACGGTTGTCACCGTTGTCACTGTTGTCACCGTTGTCCTGTTGTCACTGTTGTCACTATTGTCACTGTTGTCACTTTTGTCACCATTGTCACTGTTGTCACTGTTGTCACCTGTCATTGTCACTGTTGTCACCGTTGTCACTGTTGTCACCGTTGTCACCGTTGTCACTGTTGTCACCGTTCTCACTGTTGCCACCGTTGTCACCGTAGTCACTGTTGTCACTGTTGTCACCATTGTCACCGTTGTCACTGTTGTCACCGTTGTAGCTGTTGTCACCCATTGTCACTGTTGTCACTGTTATCACTGCTGTCACGGTTGTCACCGTTGTCACATTTGTCACCGTTATCACAGTTGTCACCGCTGTCACTTTTGTCACCATTGTCACTGTTGTCACTGTTGTCACTTTTGTCACTGTTGTCACTGTTGTCACTGTTGTCACCGTTGTCACCGTTGTCACTGTTGTCACTGTTGTCGCCATTGTCACGGTTGTCACTGTTGTCACATTTTGTCATTATTGTCACAGTTGTCACCGTTGTCACTTTTGTCACCATTGTCACTGTTGTCACTGTTACTGTTGTCACTGTCGTCACCGTTGTCACTACTGTCACTTTTGTCACTGTTGTCACCGTTGTCACTGTTGTCATTGTTGTCACTTTTGTCAGAGTTTTCACTGTTGCCATTGTTGTCACTGTGTCACTGTTGTCACTGTTGTCACCGTTGTCATTGTTGTCACGTAGTCTGTTGTCACCGTTGTCACTGTCACCACTTTTGTCACCGTTTTCACCGTTTGTCACTGTTGTCACTGTTGTCACTTTTGTCACTGTTGTCTTTCATTGTCACTGTTGTCCATTGTTGTCACCGTTGTCACCATTGTCACAGTTGTCACGACTGTCACTGTTGTCACATTTGTTTCCTGTTATCACTGTTGTCACCGTTGTCACTGTTGTCACTTTTGTCACTGTTGTCACTGTTGTCACCATTGTCACTGTTGTCACTGTTTTCATTGTTGTCACAGTTGTCACTTTGTCTCCATTGTCACTGTTGTTACTGTTGTCACTGTTTCACTTTTGTCACCGTTGTCACTGTTGTCACCTTGTCATTGTTGTCACTGTTGTCACTGTTTTCACCGTTGTCACGGTTCATCACCGTTGTCACCGTTGTCACTGTTGTCACTTTTTTCACGGGTTGTCACTGTTGTCATTGTTGTCACTGTTGTCACTGTTGTCACTTTTGTCACTGTTGTCACCGTTTTTCATTGTCACTGTTGTCATTGTCACCACTGTCACTGTTGTAACTGTTGGTCACTGTCGTCACTGTTGTGATCTGTTGTCACTGTTGTCACCGTTGTCACCATTGTCACTGTTGTCACTGTTTTCACCGTTGTCACTGTTGTCACAATTGTCACTTTTTGTAACCATTGTCACTTTTTGTCACTGTTTTCACTGTTGTCAGCATTTTCACAGTTGTCATTATTTGTCACTTTTGTCACTATTTGTCACTGTTGTCACTGTTGTCACTGTTGTCACCGCTGTCACTGTTGTCACTGTTGTCATCCTTGTTGTCGTTGTTGTCCACTGTTGTCACTGTTTGTCACCGTTGTCACCATTGTCACTTTCGTCACCGTTGTCACCGTTGTCACTGTTGTCACCGTTGTCACCGTTGTCACCGTTGTCACTGTTGTCACTTTTGTGACCGTTGTCACCGTTGTCACTGTTGTCACCGTTGTCACTGTTGTCACTGTTGTCACCGTTATCACCGTTGTCACTGTTGTCACCGTTGTCACAGTTGTCACTGTTGTCACCGTTATCACCGTTGTCACTGTTGTTACCGTTGTCACTGTTGTCACGGTTGTCACTGTTGTCACCATTGTCACTGTTGTCACTGTTGTCACCGTTCTCACTGGTGTCACCGTTCTCACTGTTTTTACAGTTGTTACTGTTGTCATCGTTGTCACTGTTGTCACGGTTGTCACCGTTGTCACAATTGTCACTGTTGTCAGTGTTGTCACTGTTTTCGCCGTTGTCACCGTTGTCACTGTTGTCACGGTTGTCACTGTTGTCACGGGTGTCACTGTTTTTACCGTTGTCACGGTTGTCACGGTTTTCAATAATGTCACCGTATTCACCATTGTCACAGCTGTTACTGTTGTCACCGTTGTCACTGTTGTTGCCGGTATCACTGTTGTCACCGTTCTCACTGTTGTCACTGTTGTCAGTTGTCAATGTTGTCACCGTTTTCACTGTTGTCAGTGTTGTTACTGTTGTCACTGTTGTCATCGTTGTCACTGTTGTTGTCACCATTGTCACTGTTGTCTGTTTTCACCGTAGTCACGGGTTGTCACAATTGTCATCGTTGTCACTTTTTTCACCGTTGTCACCCTTGTCACTGTTGTCACTGTTGTCACTGTTGTCAGGTTGTCACTGTTGTCAGTTGTTTTCACTTTTGTCACTGTTGTCACTGTTGTCACCGTTGTCACTGTTGTCATTGTTGTCACTTTGTTGTCACTGTTGTCACTGTTGTCATCCATTGTCACCGTTGTCACTGTTTTCACTGTTGTCATTGTTAACACCGTTAATCGTTGTCACAGTTGTCACCATTGTCACTTTTGTCACTTTGTAATTGTTGTCACTGTTGTCACTGTTGTCACTGTTGTCACTGTTGTCACCATCACTGTTGTTGTCCCTGTTGTCACTGTTGTCACCGTTGTCATGCTGTCACCGTTGTCACTGTTGTTTGTCACTTTTGTCACCATTGTCACTGTTGTCACTGTTGTCACTTTTCTCCAACCATTGTCACCGTTGTCACTGTTGTCACCGTTGTCACCGTTGTCACTGTTTTTGTTCTCACTGTTGTCACTGTTGTCATTAATTGTCACTTTGTCACCGTTGTCACTGTTGTCACTGTTGTCACTGTTGTCACCGTTGTCACTGTTGTCACCTTGTCACCGTAGTCACTGTTGTCACCCAAGTTCTCACTATTGTCACTGCTGTCACTTTTGTCACTGCTGTCACTTTTGTCACTGCTGTCACTTTTGTCAAAATTGTCACGACTGTCACTGTTGTCACCGTTGTCACTGTTGTCACTGTTTTCCATTGTTTTGTCACCGTTGTCATTGTTGTCACATTGTCACCCATTGTCACTGTTGTCACTGTTTGTCACTCATGTCACTGTTGTCACCGTCACTATCGTTGTCACTTTGTCTCCATTTTCACTGTTGTCACTTTTGTCACCATTGTCACTTTGGTCACCGTTGTCACTGTTGTCATTGTCACCGTTTTCACCGTTGTCACTGTTGTCACCGTTGTCACTTTGTCACCGTTGTCACTGTTGTCACTGCTGTCACTGTTGTCACTGTTTCATCGTTGTCACCATTGTCACCGTTGTCACTGTTGTCACCGTTGTCACCGTTGTTACCGTTGTCACTGTTTTCACTGTCACTATTGTCACTGTTGTCACTGTTGTCACTATTGTTGTCACCATTTTCACAGTTGTCACTGTTGTCACCTGTCATTGTCACTGTTGTCACCGTTGTCACTGTTGTCACCACTGTCACTGTTGTCACTGTTGTCACTGTTGTCACTGTTGTCACCATTGTCACTGTTGTCACTGTTGTCAATTGTCACTGTTGTCACTGTTGTATTGTCACTGTTGTCACTTTTTTCACCGTTGTCACTGTTGTCACTGTTGTCACCGTTGTCACTGTTTTCACTGTTGTCACGGTTGTCACTGTTGTCACTATTGTCACTGTTGTCACCGTTTTCACTGTTGTCACCTTTTGTCACCATTGTCACTATTGTCACTATTGTCATTGTCACTATTTTCACTGTTGTCACCATTGTTTTAACCATTGTCACCATTGTCACTGTTGTCACCGTTGTCACTGTTGTCACTGTTGTCACCTATCACTTGTCACTATTGTCACTGTTGTCACTGTTGTCACTGTTGTCACCATTGTCACTGTTGTCACCGTTTTTACTGTTGTCATATTGTCACTGTTGTCACCGTTGTCACCATTGTTACGTTGTCACTGTTGTCACTGTTGTCACTGTTGTCACCCGTTGTCACTTTTGTCCGTTGTCACTATTGTCACTGTTGTCACTGTTGTCACTGTTGTCACCGTTGTCACTGTTGTCACCTGTTGTCACTGTTGTCACTGTTGTCACTGTTGTCACTTTTTTCAGTTGTCACTGTTGTCACCGTTGTCACTGTTGTCACTTTTGTCACCGTTGTCACAGTTGTCACTTTTGTCAACATTGTCACTGTTGTCACCGTTGTCATCATTGTCACCGTTGTCACCGTTGTCACTATTGTCACTTTTGTCACTGTTGTCACTGTTGTCACCGTTGTCACCGTTGTCACTATTGTCACTGTTGTCACTGTTGTCACCCCATTGTCATCTGTTGTCACTGTTGTCACCATTTGTCACTGTTTTCACCGTTGTCACTGTTGTCACCATTGTCACCGTTGTCACCGTTGTCACTGTTGTCACCATTGTCACTGTTGTCACTGTTGTCACCGTTGTCACATTTGTCACTGTTGTCACTCGTTGTCACTGTTGTCACTTTTGTCACCGTTGTCACTGTTGTCACTGTTGTCACTGTTGTCACCATTGTCACTATTTGTCATTTTTGTCAACATTGTCACTGTTGTCATCATTTTGCTACCGTTGTCACCGTTGTCACCATTGTTTCTGTTGTCACTGTTGTCACTTTTGTCACTGTTGTCACAGTTGTCACCGTTGTCACTGTTGTCACTGTTTTCACTGTTGTCACTGTTGTCCATTTTGTCACTGTTGTTCGTTGTCACTGTTGTCACCGTTGTCACTATTGTCACTGTTGTCACTGTTGTCACTTTTGTCACCTGTTGTCACTGTTGTCACTTTTTGTCATCGTTGTCACTGTTGTCACTGTTGTCACTGTTGTCACTGTTGTCACTGTTGTCACTTTTTTCACTGTTGTCACCGTTGTCACTGTTGTCACTGTTGTCATTGTTGTCACCATTTTCACCGTTGTCACTGTTGTCACTGTTGTCACCGTTGTCACTGTTGTCAGGATTGTCACCATTGTCACTTTTGTCACCGTTGTCACTGTTGTCACTGTTGTCACCGTTGTCACCGTTGTCACTTTTGTCACTGTTGTCACCATTGTCGACTGTCACTGTTGTCACTGTTGTCACTGTTGTCAAAATTGTCACGTCGTTCCTGTTGTCACTGTTGTCACTGTTGTCACTTTTGTCACTGTTGTCACTGTTGTCACTATTGTCACTGTTGTCACTGTTGTGCCACTGTTGTCACTGTTGTCACTGTTGTCACCACTGTCACTGTTGTTACCGTTGTCATTGTCACCATTGTCACTGTTGTCACTGTTGTCACTTTTGTTTTCACCATTGTCACTGTTGTCACTTTTTGTCACTTTTGTCATTGTTAATTGTTTGTCACCGTTGTCACTGTTTTCACCGTTGTCACTGTTGTCACCGTTGTCACTGTTTGTCACTGTTGTTACTATTGTCACCGTTGTCACTGTTGTCACCGTTGTCACTGTTGTCACGGTTGTCACTGTTGTCACTGTTGTCACCGTTGTCTTTGTTGTCACTGTTTTCACTGTTGTCACCGTTGTCACTATTCTCACCGTTGTGAAGGTGACAACGGGGACAACGGTGACTGTTGTCACCGTCGTCACTGTTTTCACCGTTGTCACTGTTGTCGCTGTTGTCACCGTTGTCACTGCTGTTACTTTTGTTACCGTTGTCACTGTTGTCATTTTTATCACTCTGACTGTTCTCACCGTTGTCACCGTTGTCACTGATATCACTGTTGTCACCGTTGTCACTGTTGTCACCGTTGTCACTGTTTGTCACTGTTGTTACCATTGTCACCGTTGTCACTGTTGTGACGGTTGTCACTGTTGTCACCGTTGTCACTGTTGTCACCGTTGTCACTGTTTGTCACTGTTGTCACTGTTGTCACCGTTGTCACTGTTGTCACCGTTGTCACTGTTGTCACCGTTGTCACCGTTGTCACTGTTGTCACTGTTGTCACCGTTGTCACCATTGTCACTGTTGTCACTGTTGTTGTTGTCACCGTTGTCACCGTTGTCACCGTTGTCACTGTTGTAACAGTTCTCGCTGTTGTCACTGTTCTCACTGTTGTCACTAGTTGTCACCGTTGTCACTGTTGTCGTTGGTGTCACTATTGTCACTGTTGTCACCACGTTGTCACCATTGTCACTGTTGTCACTGTTGTCACTTTGTCACTGTTGTCACCGGTTGTCACCGTTGTCATTGTCACTGTTGTCATCGTTTTCACTTTTGTCACCGTTGTCACTGTTGTCACTGTTGTCACTGTTGTCACTTTTGTCACCGTTGTCACTGTTGTCACTGTTGTCACCATTGTCCTGTTGTCACCGTTGTCACTATTGTCACTGTTGTCACTCCATTGTCACCGTTGTCACTATTGTCACTGTTTTCACTGTTGTCATTTTTGTCACCGTTGTCACTGTTGTCACTGTTGTCATTGCTGTTGTCATTGTCACTTGTTGTCACCATTGTCACTTTGTCACTTTGTAACCGTTGTCACTGTTGTTGTCACCATTGTCACTGTTGTCACCGTTGTCACTGTTGTCACTGTTTTCACTTTTTTAAATGTTGACGCTCTTGTCACTGTTGTCACTGTTACTGTTGTCACTGTCGTCACCGTTGTCACTACTGTCACTTTTGTCACTGTTGTCACCGTTGTCACTGTTTGTTGTTGTCACCTTTTTCACTGTTGTCATTGTCTGTTGTCACTGTTGTCACGGTCATCACCGTGGTCACTGTTGTCACCGTTGTTGTTCACACCGGTCACTGTTGTCACTGTTGTCACCCACTTGTCACTGTTGTCACCACTGTCACCCGTTTTCACCGTTGTCACTGTTGTCATTGTTGTCACTGTTGTCCTGTTGTCACAGTTGTCACTGTTGTCACTGTTGTCACTCATTGTCACCGTTGTCACGTTGTCACTGTAGTCATCCTTGTCATTGTCACCGTTGTCACTTTTGTCACCGTTGTCACCGTTGTCACCGTTGTCACTTTTGTCACCGTTTTCACCATTGTCACTGTTGTCACTGTTGTCACCGTTGTCACTGTTGTCACCGTTGTCAATGTTGTCAACGTTGTCACTGTTGTCACTGTTGTCACCGTTGTCACTATTGTCACTATTTGTGTCACTGTTGTCACTTTTGTCATTGTTGTCACTGTTGTCGCCGTTGTCACTGTTGTCACTGTTGTCACCGTTGTCACCGTTGTCATTGTTGTCACTGTTGTCACCGTTGTCACTGTTGTCACTGTTGTCACTGTTGTCATTGTTGTCAATGCTGTCACCGTTGTTACCGTTGTCGCTGTTGTCACGGTAGTCACCGTTTTCACTGTTGTCACTGTTGTCACCGATGTCACTTTTTTGACCATTGTCACCGTTGTCACTGTTGTCACTGCTGTCACCGTTGTTACTGCTGTCACCGTTGTCATCGTTTTCACCATTGTCGCTGTTGTCACATTTGTCGCTGTTGTCACGGTTTTCACGGTTGTCACTGTTGTCACTGTTAACGCTGTTGTCACCGTTGTCACTTTTGTCACCGTTGTTACTGTTGTCACCGTTGTCGCTGTTGTCACAGTTGTCACTGTTGTCACTGTTGTCACTGTTGTCACTGTTTTCACCATTGTCGCTGTTGTCACGGTTGACACTGTTCTTACCGATTGCACCATTGTCACTGTTGTCACAGTTGTCACGGTTGTCACCGTTGTCACTGTTGTCACTGTTGTCACTTTTGTCACCGATGTCAGCGTTGACACTGTTGTCACTGTTGTCACCGTTTTTTTTCGTTGTCCCTGTTGTCACGATTCTCACTGTTGTCACTGTTGTCACGGTTGTCACAATTGCCACTGTTGTCACCGTTGTCACCGCTGTCGCTGTTGTCACTGTTGTCACCGTTGCTACTGTTGTCACTGTTGTCACATTTGTCACGTTGTCACTGTTGTCACTGTTGTCACTTTTGTTGTCACCATTTTGTCACTGTTGTCACCGTTGTCACTGTTGTCATCATGTTGTCACTGTTGTCACTGTTGTCACTGTTGTCACTGTTGTCACTGTTCCTGTTGTCATCGTTGTCACCGTTGTCACCGTTGTCACTGTTGTCACCGTTGTCACGGTTGTCACTGTTGTCACTGTTGTCACCCTTGTCACTGTTGTCACTTTTGTCACCATTGTCACTGTTGTCACTGTTGTCACCGTTGTCACTGTTGTCACCGTTGTCACCGTTGTCACTGTTGTCACTGTTGTCACTGTTGTCACTGTTGTCACCGTTGTCACTGTTTTCACCGTTGTCACCGTTGTCACTGTTGTCACCATTGTCACTGTTGTCACCGTTGTCACTGTTGTGACGGTTCTCACTGTTGTTTCTGTTGTCCCTGTTGTCACTGTTGTCACCATTGTCGCCGCTGTGATTGTTGTCATTGGTGTCACCGTTGTCATTGTTGTCACCGTTGTCACCGTTGTCATTTGTCGCTGTTGTCACGTTCTCACTGTTGTCACTGTTGTCACTGTTCTCACTATTGTCAATGTTGTCACTATTGTCACTGTTGTCACCGTTGTCACTTTTGTCACCGTTGTCACCTGTGTCACTGTTGTCACCGTTGTCACTGTTGTCACTGTTGTCCAACATTGTCACTGTTGTCACTGTTGTCACCGTTGTCACTTTTGTCACCGTTGTCACTGTTGTCACCATTGTCACGGTTGTCACTGTTGTCACTGTTCTCACCGTTGTCACTGTTGTCACTGTTGTCACTGTTTTCATCCTGTCACCGTTGTCATTGTTGTCACCGTTGTCACCGTTGTCACCGTTGTCACTGTTTTCACCGTTGTCTTTTGTCACAGTTGTCACCGTTGTCACCATTTGTCACTGTTGTCACTGTTTGTCACTTTTGTCACTGTTGTCACTGTTGTCACTTTTGTCACCGTTGTCACTGTTTTCACTGTTGTCACTTTGTCACCATTGTCATCGTTGTCACTGTTGTCACTGTTGTCACTTTTGTCACTGTTGTCACTGTTGTCACCGTTGTCATTATTTGTCACTGTTGTCACCTGTTGTCCCCATTGTCACTGTTGTCACTGTTGTCACCTGTTGTCACTGTTGTCACCATTGTCACTGTTGTCACCGTTGTCAATGTTGTCACAGTTGTCACTGTTCACCGTTGTCACTGTTGTCACTTTTGTCACCGTTGTCACTTTTGTCACATTTTCATTTTTCACCGTTTTCACTGTTGTCACTGTTGTCACTTTTGTCACTGTTTTCACCGTTTTCACTGTTGTCACTATTGTCACTGTTGTCACTTTTGTCACCGTTGTCACCGTTGTCACTGTTGTCACTGTTGTCACCATTGTCATTGTTGTCAACGTTGTCACCGTTGTCACCGTTGTCACTGTTGTCTGTTGTCACCATTGTCATCGTTGTCACCTGTTGTCACTGTTGTCACTGTTGTCACTTTTGTCACCGTTGTCATTATTTGTCACCGTTGTCACCGTTGTCACTGTTGTCACTGTTGTCACCGTTGTCACCGTTGTCACCTGTTGTCACCGTTGTCACTGTTTGTCACTGTTGTCACCGTTGTCACTGTTGTCACCGTTGTCACTGTTGTCACTGTTGTCACCATTGTCACTGTTGTCACCTGTTGTCACTGTTGTCACTGTTGTCACTGTTGTCACTGTTGTCACTGTTGTCACATGGTTTGTCACCATTGTCACTGTTGTCACTTTTGTCACCGTTGTCACCGTTGTCACCTGTTGTCACCATTGTCACCATTGTCACTGTTGTCACCGTTGTCACTGCTGTCATTGCTGTCACTGGTGTCACTGTTGTCACTGCTGTCACGGTTGTCACTGTTGTCACCGTTGTCACTGTTGTGACTGTTGTCACTGTTGTCACGATTGTCACTGTTGTCACTGTTGTCGCTGTTGTCACCCTTGATGCTCTTGTCACTGTTGTCACTGTTGTCACTTTTGTCACCATTGACACTGTTGTCACTGTTGTCACTGTTGTCACCGTTGTCACTGTTGTCACATTGTCACTGTTGTCTTTTTGTCACCATTTCACCTGTTGTCATTGTTGTCACTTTTGTTTCCATTGTCACTCTTGTCACTGTTGTCACCGTTGTCACCATTGTCACTGTTGTCACCGTAGTCTGTTGTGTTGTCATTGTCACCGTTGTCACTGTTGTCATTATTGTCACCGTTGTCACTGTTGTTGTCACTGTTGTCACCGTTGTCACTGTTGTGACTGTTGTCACTGTTGTCACGATTGTCACTGTTGTGGCTGTTGTCACCGTTGTGACTGTTGTCACTGTTGTCACTTTTGTCACCATTGACACTGTTGTCACTGTTGTCACCGCTGTCACCGTTGTCACTGTTGTCACACTGTTGTCATCATTGTCACTGTTGTCACCATTGTCAACGTTGTCACCGCGGTCACTGTTGTCACTGTTGTCACTTTTGTCACTGTTGTCACTGTTGTCACTTTTTGTCACCTTTTTGTCATCATTGTCATTTTGTCACCGTTTTCACTGTTGTCACCGTTGTCACTGTTGTCACCGTTGTCACCGTTGTCACTCTTGTCACCGTTGTCACCGTTGTCACGGTTGTCACCGTTGTCACTGTTGTCACCGTTGTCACTGTTGTCGCCTTGGTCGTCGTTGTCACTGTTGTCACTGTTGTCACTGTTGTCACTGTTGTCACCGTTGTCACCGTTGTCACTGTTGTCACCGTTGTCACTGTTGTCACCGTTGTCACTGTTGTCACCGTTGTCACTGTTGTCACCATTGTCACCGTTGTCACTGTTGTCACCGTTGTCACTGTTCTCACTGTTGTCACCTTTGTCACTGTTGTCACCGTTGTCACCGTTGTCCCTAATGTCACGGTTGTCCCTGTTGTCACTGTTCTCACCGTTGTCACTGTTGTCACCGTTGTCACTGTTGTCACGTTGTCACCGTTGTCACTGTTGTCACTGTTGTCACTGTTGTCACTTTTGTCACTGTTTGTCACCGTTGTCACTTTTGTCACTGTTGTCACCTGTTGTCACCGTTGTCACTGTTGTCACCGTTGTCACTGTTGTCACTGTTGTCACCATTGTCACCAGTGTCACTGTTTTCACCATTGTCACAGTTGTCACTGTTTGTCACTTTTGTCACCCGTTCTCAGTGTTGTCACTGTTGTCACGGTCATCACCTTTGTCACTGTTGTCACTGATGTCACCATTGTCACTTTTGTCACATTGTCACCGTTGTCACTTTTGTCACTGTTGTCGTTGTGTTGTCACCGTTGTCACGGTTGTCACTGTTGTCACCGTTGTCACTGTTGTCACCGTTTTCACTGTTGTCACCGTTGTCACCGTTGTCACTGTTGTCACTGTTGTCACGTTGTTACCGTTGTCATTGTTGTCACCGTTGTCACTGTTGTCACCGTTGTCACCGTTGTCACCCTTGTCACTGTTGTCACTTTTGTCACCGTTGTCACCGTAGTCACTGTTGTCACCATTGTCACCATTGTCACTGTTGTCACTGTTGTCACCGTTGTCACTGTTGTCACTGTTGTCACTTTTCTCACTGTTGTCACTGTTGTCACTCATTTTCACCGTTGTCACCATTGTCACCGTTGTCACTGTTGTCAGTGTTGTCACTGTTGTCACTGTTGTCACTGTTGTCATCATTGTCATCGTTGTCACTGTTGTCACCGTTGTCACTTTTGTCACCGTTGTCACTTTTGTCACCGTTGTCACGTTGTCACCGTTGTCAATGTTGTCACTGTTGTCACCGTTGTCACTGTTGTCACTGTTGTCACCATTGTCACTGTTGTCAGTTATTGTCACTTTTGTCACCATTGTCACCGTTGTCACTGTTGTCACCAATGTCACCGTTGTCACTGTTGTCACCGATGTCACCGTTCTCACTGTTGTCACTGTTGTCAATGTTTTCACCGTTGTCTCTTTTATCACTTTTGTCACTGTTGTCAGTGTTGTCACAGTTGTCACTTTTGTCACTGTTGTCACTGTTGTCACTGTTGTCACTGTTGTTGCGTTGTCACTGTTGTCATTGTTGTCACTGTTGTCGCTTTTGACACTGTTGTCATCATTGTCGCTGCTGTAGCTGTTGTCACCATTGTCGTGGTTGTCACTGTTGTTGCTGTTTTCACCGTTGTCGCTGTTGTCGCTGTTGTCACTGTTGTCACTTTTGTCACTGTTGTCACTGTTGTCACTGTTGTCACTGTTGTCACCATTGTCACTGTTGTCACTGTTGTCACTGTTGTCACCATTGTCACCCTTGTCACTGTTGTCACCGTAGTCAGTTGTCGTTGTCACTACAGTCACTTTTGTCACTGTTGTCACTGTTGTCACTGTTTTCACTGTTGTCACTGTTTTCACTGTTGTCATTGTCACCATTGTCACTGTTGTCACTGTTGTCACCGTTGTCACTGTTGTCGCCATTGTCACTGTTGTCACTTTTGTCACCGTTGTCACTGTTGTCAAGGTTGTCACCGTTGTCACTGTTGTCATTTTTGTCACTGTTGTCACTGTTGTCACTGTTGTCACCGTCATCGTTGTCACTGCTGTTCGCAGTTGTCACTGTTGTCACCGTTGTCACCGTTGTCACTGTTGTCACTGTTGTCACTGTTGTCACGTTGTCACTGTTGTCACCGTTGTCACCGTTGTCACCGTTGTCACTGTTGTCACCGTTGTCTCCTGTTGTCACTATTGTCACTGTTGTCACATTGTCACTGCTGTCACTGTTCTCACTGTTGTTAGTGTTCTCACTGTTGTCACTATTGTCTCCGTTGTCAGTGTTCTCACTGTTGTCACTGTTGTAACTGCTGTCAACATTGTCACCGTTATCACTGATGTCACTGTTGTCACGTCTGTCACTGTTGTTTCTGTTGTCACTGTTGTAACAGTTGTCACCGTTGTCAATGTTGTCACCGTTTACACTGTTGTCACTGTTGTCACCGTTGTCATTGTTGTCACCGTTGTCCTGTTGTCACTGTTGTCACTGTTGTCACTGTTGTCACTGTTGTCACCGTTGTCACTGTTGTCACCATTGTCACTGTTGTCACGGTTGTCACCATTGTCACTGTTGTCACCGTTGTCACTGTTGTCACAGTTGTCACTGTTGTCACTGTTGTCACCGTTGTCACTGTTGTCACTGTTGTCACGGTTGTCACCGTTTTCACTGTTGTCACTGTTGTCACCGTTGTCACCGTTGTCACTGTTGTCACCGTTGTTGTCACTGTTGTCACTGTTGTCACTGTTGTCACTGTTTTCGCTTGTCACCTTTGTCACCATTGTCACCGTTGTCACTGTTGTCACGGTTGTCACGGTGTTCACTGTTGTCACCATTGTCACTGTTTTCACTGTTGTCAATGTTGTCACCGTTGTCACTGTTGTCACAGTTTTCACGCTTGTCACTGTTGTCACCGTTGTCACTGTTGTCACCGTTGTCACCGTTGTCATTTTGTCACCGTTGTCACTTTTCACCGTTGTCACTGTGTCACTGTTGTCACCGTTGTCACTGTTGTCACTTTTGTCACCGTTGTCACTTTTGTCACAGTTGTCACTGTTGTCACTGTTCTCACGGTTGTCACCATTGTCACTGTTGTCACCGTTGTCACTTGTCACTGTTGTCAGCGTTGTCACTTTTGTCACCGTTGTCACTGTTGTCACTGTTCTCACTGTTGTCACTGTTGTCACTGTTGTCACTGTTGTCACTGTTGTCACTGTTGTCACTGTTGTCACTGTTGTCACCGTTGTCACTGTTGTCACTGTTGTCACTGTTGTCACCGTTGTCACTGTTGTCACTGTTGTCACTGTTGTCACCGTTGTCACTGTTGTCACTGTTGTCACCGTTGTCACCGTTGTCACTGTTGTCACCGTTGTCACTGTTGTCACCGTTTTCACCGTTGTCACTGTTGTCATTGTTGTCTGATTGTTGTCACTATTGTCACTGTTGTTGTCTGTTTGTCAGTGTTGTCACTTTTGTCACTTTTGTCACCTTTGTCACTGTCACTTTTGTTGTATTGTTGTCACTGTTGTCACTGTTGTCACCGTTGTCACTAAAACGTTGTCACCGTTGTCACTGTTGTCACTGTTGTCACCTTTGTCACTGTTGTCACCGTTGTCACTGTTGTCACTGTTGTCACCGTTGTCACTGTTGTCACCGTTGTCACCGTTGTCACTGTTGTCACTGTTGTCACCATTGTCACTGTTGTCACCGTTGTCGCTGTTGTCACTGTTGTTACTGTTCGCACCGTTGTCACCATTCTCACTGTTGTCACTGTTGTCACTGTTGTCACTGTTGTCACTGTTGTCACTGTTGTCACCGTTGTCACTGTTGTCACCGTTGTCACCGTTGTCACTGTTGTCACTGTTGTCACTGTTGTCACCGTTGTCACTGTTGTCACTGTTGTCACTGTTGTCACTGTTGTCACCATTGTCACTGTTGTCACCGTTGTCACTGTTGTCACTGTTGTCACTGTTGTCACTGTTGTCACTGTTGTCACTGTTGTCACTGTTGTCACTGTTGTCACTGTTGTCACTGTTGTCACCGTTGTCACTGTTGTCACCGTTGTCACTGTTGTCACCGTTGTCACTGTTGTCACTGTTGTCACTGTTGTCACTGTTGTCACTTGTCACTGTTGTCACTGTTGTCACTGTTGTCACTGTTGTCACCATTGTCACTGTTGTCGCCGTTGTCACTGTTGTCACCGTTGTCACTGTTGTCACTGTTGTCACCGTTGTCACCGTTGTCACCGTTGTCACCGTTGTCACTGTTGTCACCGTTGTCACTGTTGTCACTGTTGTCACTGTTGTCACCGTTGTCACCATTGTCACTGTTGTCACTGTTGTCATTGTTGTCACTGTTGTCACTGTTGTCACCGTTGTCACTGTTGTCACCGTTGTCACTGTTGTCACCGTTGTCACTGTTGTCACCGTTGTCACTGTTGTCACCGTTGTCACTGTTGTCACTGTTGTCACTGTTGTCATCGTTGTCACTGTTGTCACCGTTGTCACCGTTGTCACTGTTGTCACTGTTGTCACTGTTGTCACCGTTGTCACTGTTGTCACCGTTGTCACTGTTGTCACTTGTCACCATTGTCACTGTTGTCACAGTTGTCACCGTTGTCACTGTTGTCACTTTTGTCACCGTTGTCACTGTTGTCACCATTGTCACTGTTCTCACCGTTGTCACTGTTGTCACTGTTGTTGTTGTCACTGTTGTCACCGTTGTCACTGTTGTCACTGTTGTCACCGTTGTCACTGTTGTCACTGTTGTCACCGTTGTCACCGTTGTCACTGTTGTCACTGTTGTCACTGTTGTCACCGTTGTCACTGTTGTCACTGTTGTCACCGTTGTCACTGTTGTCACTGTTGTCACCGTTGTCACTTTTGTCACTGTTGTCACTGTTGTCACTGTTGTCACCGTTGTCACTGTTGTCACTGTTGTCACTGTTGTCACCGTTGTCACTGTTGTCACCGTTGTCACCGTTGTCACTGTTGTCACTGTTGTCACCGTTGTCACTGTTGTCACTGTTGTCACTGTTGTCACCGTTGTCACTGTTGTCACCGTTGTCACTGTTGTCACTGTTGTCACCGTTGTCACTGTTGTCACCGTTGTCACTGTTGTCACCTTTGTCACTGTTGTCACTGTTGTCACTTTTGTCACTGTTGTCACCGTTGTCACTGTTGTCACTGTTGTCACCGTTGTCACCGTTGTCACTGTTGTCACTGTTGTCACTGTTGTCACCGTTGTCACCGTTGTCACTGTTGTCACCATTGTCACTGTTGTCACTGTTGTCACTGTTGTCACTGTTGTCACTGTTGTCACCGTTGTCACTGTTGTCACCGTTGTCACTGTTGTCACTGTTGTCACCGTTGTCACCGTTGTCACTGTTGTCACTGTTGTCACCGTTGTCACCGTTGTCACTGTTGTCACTGTTGTCACTGTTGTCACCGTTGTCACTGTTGTCACTGTTGTCACTGTTGTCACTGTTGTCACTGTTGTCACTGTTGTCACCGTTGTCACTGTTGTCACTGTTGTCACCGTTGTCACTGTTGTCACTGTTGTCACCGTTGTCACTGTTGTCACTGTTGTCACCGTTGTCACTGTTGTCACTGTTGTCACCATTGTCACTGTTGTCACCGTTGTCACCGTTGTCACTGTTGTCACCGTTGTCACTGTTGTCACTGTTGTCACCATTGTCACTGTTGTCACTGTTGTCACCGTTGTCACTGTTGTCACTGTTGTCACCGTTGTCACTGTTGTCACTGTTGTCGCCATTGTCACGGTTGTCACTGTTGTCACCGTTGTCACTGTTGTCACCGTTGTCACCGTTGTTACCGTAGTCATTGTTGTCACAGTTGTCATCGTTGTCACTTTTGTAACCGTTGTCACTGTTGTCACTGTTGTCACTTTTGTCACTTTTGTCACCGTTGTCACTGTTGTCACTTTTGTCAACATTGTCACGACTGTCACTGTTGTCACCGTTGTCACCGTTGTCACTGTTGTCATCGTTGTCACTGTTTTCACTGTTGTCACTGTTGTCACGGTTGTCCCTGTTGTCACCGTTGTCACTGTTGTCAGTCTTGTCACTGTTGTCAATGTTGTCACTGTTGTTACTGTTGTCACTGTTGTCGCTCTTGTCACCGTTGTCACTGTTGTCACTGTTGTCACCGTTGTCACAAAATGTCACTGTTGTCACCGTTGTCACCGTTGTCACCGTTGTCACCGTTGTCACTGTTGTCAGTGTCGTCACTGTTGTCACCATTGTCACCGTTGTCACTGTTGTCAGAGTTGTCACTGTTGTCAGTTGTCACTGTTGTCACTGTTGTCACTGTTGTCACTGTTGTCACCGTTGTAGCTGTTGTCACCCATTGTCACTGTTGTCAGTGTTGTCACTGCTGTCACTGTTGTCACTGTTTTCATCCTTGTCACCGTTGTCACTGTTGTTACAGTTGTCGCTGTTTTTACCGTTGTCACTGTTGTCACTGTTGTCAGCATTGTCACCATTGTCACTGTTGTCACTGTTTTCACCGTAGTCATTGTCACAGTTGTCATCGTTGTCACTTTTGTACCGTTGTCACCGTTGTCACTGTTGTCACTGTTGTCACTTTTGTCAGAGTTGTCACTGTTGTCAGTTGTCACTGTTGTCACTGTTGTCATTGTTGTCACCGTTGTAGCTGTTGTCACCCATTGTCACTGTTGTCACTGTTGTCACTGCTGTCACTGTTGTCACCCTTGTCACCGTTGTCACCATTGTCACCGTTTTCACAGTTTTCACCGTTGTCACCGTTGTCACAGTTGTCACCGTTGTCACCGTTGTCACCTTTGTCACTGTTGTCACCGTTGTCACTGTTGTCACCGTTGTCACTGTTGTCACTGTTGTCACCATACTCACTGTTGTCACTGTTGTCACGGTTGTCACCATTGTCATCGTTGTCACTGTTGTCACTGTTGTCACTTTTGTCACTGTTGTCACCGTTGTCACCGTTGTCACTGTTGTCACTGTTGTCGCCATTGTCACGGTTGTCACTGTTGTCACCACTGTCACTGTTGTCACCGTTTTCACCGTTGTCACCGTAGTCATTGTTGTCACAGTTGTCATCGTTCTCACTTTTGTACCCGTTGTCACCGTTGTCACTGTTGTCACTTTTGTCAACATTGTCACGACTGTCACTGTTGTCACCGTTGTCACTGTTGTCACTGTTTTCACTGTTCTCACTGTTGTCACTGTTGTCATTGGTGTGACCCTTGTCACCGTTGTCACTGTTGTCACTACGGTCACTGTTGTCACCGTTGTCACGGTTGTCACCATTGTCACCGTAGTCACTGTTGTCACCGTTTTCATAGTTGTCACCGTTTTCATAGTTGTCACCGTTGTCACTGTTGTCACTGTTGTCACTGTTGTCACCACTGTCACTGTTGTGACCGTTTTCACCGTTGTCACCGTAGTCACTGTTGTCACCGTTGTCACTGTTGTTACAGTTGTCGCTGTTTTTACCGTTGTCACTGTTGTCACTGTTGTCAGCATTGTCACCATTGTCACTGTTGTCACTGTTTTCACCGTAGTCATTGTCACAGTTGTCATCGTTGTCACTTTTGTAACCGTTGTCACCGTTGTCACTGTTGTCACTGTTGTCACTTTTGTCAGAGTTGTCACTGTTGTCAGTTGTCACTGTTGTCACTGTTGTCACTGTTGTCACCGTTGTAGCTGTTGTCACCCATTGTCACTGCTGTCACTGTTGTCACCGTTGACACCGTTGTCACCATTATCACAGTTTTCACCGTTGTCACCGTTATCACAGTTGTCACCATTGTCACAGTTGTCACTTTTGTCACCATTGTCACTGTTGTCACTGTTGTCACCGTTGTCACTGTTGTCACCGTTGACACCGTTGTCACCATTGTCACAGTTGTCACCGTTGTCACCGTTGTCACATTTGTCACCGTTATCACAGTTGTCACCGTTGTCACCGCGTTCACTGTTGTCACTGTTGTCGCCATCGTCACGGTTGTCACTGTTGTCACCACTGTAACTGTTGTCACCGTTTTCAATGTTGTCACCGTAGTCAATGTTGTCACAGTTGTCATCGTTGTCACTTTTGTACCCGTTGTCACCGTTGTCACTGTTGTCACTGTTGTCACTTTTTTCAACATTGTCACGACTGTCACTGTTGTCACCGTTGTCACTGTTGTCACTGTTTTCACCGTTCTCACTGTTGTCACTGTTGTCATTGGTGTGACCCTTGTCACCGTTGTCACTGTTGTCACTACGGTCACTGTTGTATCTGTTGTCACCGTTGTCACTGTTGTCTCCATTTTGACTGTTTTCGCTTTTGTTTCCATTGTCACTATTGTCACCGTTGTCACGGTTGTCACGGCCATCACCGTGGTCACTGTTGTCACCGTTGTCACTGTTGTCACTGTTGTCACCACTGTCACTGTTGTCACTGTTGTCACCGTTGTCACCATTGTCACTGTTGTCACCGTTGTCACTGTTGTCAGTGTCGTCACTGTTGTCACCGTTGTCACTTTTGTCAACATTGTCACGACTGTCACTGTTGTCACCGTTGTCACTGTTGTCACTGTTGTCACCGTTCTCACTGTTGTCACTGTTGTCATTGGTGTGACCCTTGTCACCGTTGTCACTGTTGTCACTACGGTCACTGTTGTCACTACCGTTGTCACTGTTGTCTCCATTTTGACTGTTTTCGCTTTTGTTTCCATTGTCACCATTCGCACCGTTGTCACTCTTGTCACTATTGTCACCGTTGTCACCGTTGTCACTGTTGTCACCGTAGTCACTGTTGTCACTGTTGTCACTGTTCGTCGTCACCGTGGTCACTGTTGTCACTGTTTTCATCCTTGTCACCATTGTCACTGTTGTCACTGTTGTCACCGTTGTCACCATTTTCACAGTTTTGACCGTTGTCACCGTTGTCACATTTGTCACCGTTATCACAGTTGTCACCGTTGTCACTTTTGTCACCATTGTCACTGTTGTCACTGTTATCACTGTTGTCACCATAGTCACTGTTGTCACGGTTGTCACCATTGTCATCGTTGTCACTGTTGTCACTGTTGTCACTTTTGTCACTGTTGTCACTGTTGTCACCGTTGTCACGGTTGTCACTGTTGTCACTGTTGTCGCCATTGTCACGGTTGTCACTGTTGTCACCGTTTTCACCGTTGTCACCATAGTCATTGTTGTCACAGTTGTCACCGTTGTCACTTTTGTACCCGTTGTCACCGTTGTCACTTTTGTCAACATTGTCACGACTGTCACTGTTGTCACCGTTGTCACTGTTGTCACCGTTGTCACTCTTGTCAGTGTCGTCACTGTTGTCACCGTTGTCACCGTTGTCACTGTTGTCACTTTTGTCAACATTGTCACGACTGTCACTGTTGTCACCGTTGTCACCATTGTCACTGTTCTCACTGTTGTCACTGTTGTCACCGTTGTCACTGTTGTCACTCTTGTCATTGTTGTGACCCTTGTCACCATTGTCACTGTTGTCACTATGGTCACTGTTGTCTCCGTTTTGACTGTTCTTGCTTTTGTCTCCATTGTCACCGTTGGCACTGTTGTCACTGTTGTCGCCGTTGTCACCATTGTCGCTATTGTCACCGTTGTGATCATTTTTGCTGATGTCACCATTGTCACTGTTGTCGCTGTTTTCACTGTTGGCAGTTTTGTCGCCGTTGTTACTCTTGTCACCGTTGTCAGCGTTGTCATCGTTGTCATTGTTGTCACCGTAGTCACTGTTGTCACCGTTGTCACCGTTGTCACAGTTGTCACTGTTGTCACTGTTGTCACCGTTGTCACTGTTGTCACCGTTGTCACCGTTGTCACTGTTGTCACTGTTGTCACTGTTGTCACTGTTGTCACCCTTGTCACTGTTGTCACTGTTGTCACCGCTGTCACTGTTGTCACCGTTTTCTCCGTCTTCACCGTAGTCACTGTTGTCACCGTTGTCACTGTTGTTACCGTTGTCGCTGTTTTTACCGTTGTCACTGTTGTCACTGTTGTCAGCATTGTCACCGTTGTCACTGTTGTCACTGTTTTCACCGTAGTCATTGTCACAGTTGTCATCGTTGTCACTTTTGTCACTGTTGTCACCGTTGTCACTTTTGTCAACATTGTTACGACTGTCATATACATTCCCCAAAAGTAATGATAGGAACATTTCAGGTTAAAACACCGTAGGTTTCAATTTTATTTTTGTCCTTAGTATTGTCAGGCCGTTTTTTACATGAGGAAACTTTCAAAGTTTGATTTTAAGTGACGCGACACGAGGAAACATCGATTTTTCAAAAACGTAGTGTTCCGCGCGTTTTTGCTTTTTGTTCCTTTAATTGCCTTAGGAACAACCTAGGAACGCACAATAAAGAAACTTTATTTGCACAAGAGGAACAAAAGTCGGCAAATTTCGGAACAATCTGGTCCGTTAGCAGCAAATTGGAACGCAAAGTTCCTTTTCGTTTTAGTCAAAAGGAACAACTGGTTCCTCTTTTATCCTTTCAGGAACAAAAGGTCCTCTTTCAACAGTTCCGATTTCCCTTCATGTTCCTTTCGAAGTGACTGGGGAACAAATGTTCCCAATCTAATTTCTTGCTCTACACAGTAAGGAACAA